TCACAATAATGATCCCAGATGAGGAGCATTGAAGAAACAAAGCAAAATTGTGATCACTCGTAGTGAAACTAAACTGAAACAAAGTGGAACCGAACGTTGCATACCAGACACGAGGCCCTTGTTTCAAATCATACAAATCTCTATTTACATGACAAACCTTTCGAGATGACAAGGGCCCCTCAGGAAGAGTCATGTAAACCTCCTCAGATAAGACATCATGTAAGAAGACATTCTTGACATCTAATTGCAGAAGAGACCATCGACGAACAACAACAACTGCAGTAAACACTGGACAGTAGTAAGGCGAGTAACCAGTGTGAAAGTTCTCTTCATAATCCATGTCATACTTCTGTGAGTAACTATTAGCAACTAGACGAGCTTCGTAGCGCTCAATAGATCCATCCAAATTTGTCTTGATCTTATAAACCCATTTGCATCCGATCGGTGTCTTGCCAACAAGTAGATCCACCAAATCCCAAGTTTGAGTCTTTTCCAACGCCTACAATTCCTCAGTCATGCTTGTTGCCACAATGGATCAGCACTCGCGTCACGAAAAGACATAGGCTGATGATCAGATAATATGACCGAGTAACAATGATAGTCAAGTAGGCGAGAAGGAGAACGACTTACACGAGTTGAACGTCAGTGATCAATGTTAGGTGAAGGGACAAAATAAAAAATAGACTCAATAGAAATCGTCGGTGTAACACCCCGCCTAGACTTACTAAAATCAGAGTAATTTTTTGCGCTATAAGTGGAAAGCACTTATTTAATTTTCGAAAACTCATATTAATTTTTCGAAAATACTTTAACCTTAATATGCGGGATGCTACTCAACTTTAATCTTAAATCTTTAATCTTTAATATCTATAAAATACTAGGCATGCAACCGAGTATAATTCATTACTCTAAGGAGCCATGAACATCTCAGGATTTAAGCATGCATAGACTGAAATTCTGAAATACTGAAATACTAGTCTGGAATCCTGAAATACTAGTCTGAAATCCTGAAATATTTAATTCTAATCTGAAATTCTGAAATACTTAAACACTAGTCTGAAATCCTAGAATATTAAAATACTAATCTGAAATTCTGAAATACTGAAATAGTAATTTGAAATTCTGAACTACTGACATACTAATCTGAATATTAGTCTGGAATTCTAAAATACTGACTAGTCTGAAATTCTAAAATACTGAAATAATAATCTAAAGTTCTGAAATACAGTTCTAGAGTGCAGAAGAAAATATATGTTCAAACATCAATGGCAAACAGACAATAAGCGAAACATAAATAAAGCATAATTAATTCAAACAATTCAAAACATGACATAACACAAATATCGTGACTGATGACCACCACCACATCCGGCTCACGCTCCACGCGGGACTCCATCACCTGAAAAATAGGGTAGTGGGGAGGCGTGAGCACAAAGGAATCAACAGTGCTCTGCCAGGACCAGCACTGAATACTCAGCACAATTAATAACAAACTATGAAATCAACATATATATGAATAAACTGGTCTGGCTATGGGACTAACGGTAAACCGGTACTTATGTGCACACTCTGGGGGTCCCCTCCCACAGAAATCCGGAAAAGGCACTAATCACCCCGTCTGGACGCTAGACTTAGGACGGGCCCTAATCACACACATCCCAGTAATAACTGAAATACTGAAATATTGACCAAGACGGGATCACTCATCCATCTCGGTCCTTCAATTTAAACACATATAGATCTCAGACATGGTAAATTATTAAAAGCGACGAAATACACAGTACATGGTACCCATCTGGAAACTGGCGAATGCAAATGCTGAAATATCTGAAATGGGTAGCTGATGGAGGCTCGACTCTCCTCAAGCTACAAAAATTACGAGCGAAATATTCTAAGTACTGGGCTCAGAATAAAACTCGAATCTTTAATATCTTATTTGTCTAGGTTCGTTCACTCTGCTTTAAAAATAATTTTAGGGATTTACGAGCTGATTTTGAAAATATTATTGTCTTTGAGGCATTCTAGGGTTATCTGAAATATTTCTAAGTCTGGAACTAAAATCTGACTGAAATATAAAATATATCTGGATCTTTAATCTATCTGGAATCTTAACTATATCTAAAATCTTAACTATATCTGAAATCTTAACTATATCTGAAATCTTAAATATATCTGAAATCTTAATTTGACTGAATCTGAAATATATCTCGAACTGTCCGGGCTGACCGGACCGGTTCAGTTGAACTTGACCAACAACTCACTCGGAGTTGGTCGATCATTTGCTTGACTATGTGCAGCTCGGTTTGACCGTGGTCCGAGTTCGGCGTGGCAACTCGGGCCGACACGAACTCAACTGACACGGCTTAGCCGGTGCGCGATCTTGAAACGATGCCACGGTCACTGAAGCAGGGGCGTGCTTGGACCACGGCTAACGGAACGGCGCGTAGACGGTAGGTCGGATGGACTTGGTGCACGGGTACGCACTCGAGGGTTGACTCGGACTCGGTGCATGGGCACGCACTCGACGGTTCAGCTCCAACGGTCGGACGAGAGACGGTCATGGGCGCGAGATGACGGTACACATTACGAATTGACGATACGACGGCTAATAATTATTCAGGCGGTACAAGGGTTCATACATTTGTAGTCGGATCCAGAAAAATACCCGGTTACCGGAACTGGATAAAACAAGGGTTTTGATTCTCGAAAAATCCTAACTCATTTAAGGCCGATAACTAATATGTATATTCTATGTAATTTATATTGATTTTAAAATCAACAACTGCAGCTAAAAATCTCAATCAAACGAATATTTTATTTTTATCGCATTAACGTCTAAAGTCCCGATTTTTATAACTAAGTCAAACAACATCCAAAATTTACGAAAATCGAAACATAACTCCTCAATATACAATATATGTATGGTCCACGGTCAACAAATCAAGTCCAAGTTCAACTCCTAACCCAATTAACTAGTAATCGCTACAACCGGTCAAGTACACATAAAATCGGTTCGCCTATCAAACGAACCCCAAATATTCTCAAATTTTTACCTAAGCCTCAAGACAATTAGTTACTATTTATCAAATTTAAATAATTATTTTATCACTTATGTATAAAGAGATCGAAAAATCGATCGGTCCAAGCTCGTAAAAATCCCGATAATTCAATTTTCGCTCAAATCATCAAATTCACATCTTTATTTCATCTCAAATATCATATCTAAGCCATCAAAACCGAGTTCGAGTTATTATACCTTAAATCGAGCGAAAATGGCGGGTCAATAAGAGATCAAGCTAAGAACAAGAGTAAAAAAACGAATCGATTCGACTAGGGGCAGCACAACCCGGATCTGGTGCAACTGGGTCAGTTCTGGTGCTGCTCGGGGTCAAACCTGGGGTGCTGGACGCGGGTCTTGAGTTGGAAATGGCCGAGAGTGCTGCTGGTCGGGTGTGCTTCGCCGTTGGGCTCGTGGTGGCTTGTTGGGGTCGCACAGCTCAGTTGTACGGACGCGAGGAGGGTGCTGCGACGTACTCACAGTGGAGCTGCGGCCTAGTTGTGGGAAGTCGCCGGAAAGACGTGAGCTAGGGTGGTGCTGCGCTGGGAATGGAGCAGGCTCGACAGGGCTCACGATTTCGGGCCTGAGTCGCGCCGGAGAGATGGGTACCTGGCTGAGGAAGATGACTGCTGAGGTCGACTAAAAGGGAGAAGGACGGTGGCTCTAGCTCGCCGGAAAACGCGCGGCTGAAGGTTGGAGGTGGAGCTCGGGCTGCAGAGGTGAGCTGCAGGTGGAGCTCGCGAGTGACGTGCGATGGGGCTGAAGTTGGCGGCGTGAGCTGGGAGGGTCGAGCCGAGGTCGTGGCTGCTCGTCGCCGGCACGGCTGTGGCTGGAAAAGAAGTAGGGTCGCCGGAAAAGCTCAAGCCATGGCAGAAGGAGAAGAAATTTCTTATGTTCTTGGGTTTTGGGAGGTAGATATTAAGGATTTAAAGCTATATTTTGAAGAAGAGCTAAGACATCTTGAATATATTGAGCTAGATCTTGAAAAATTGAGCTTAAATGTGAGGGTAGAAGAAGATGAATAGTAGTTGTAGGGAGAAAGAGTGGCTAGGGTTTTTGTTGTTGGAAAAGGGGAGACAATCTATTTATAGAAGGTGTAGGGGAGCTTAGGGTTTTGTTCTTGTTGGGCCTAAAAATCGGGCCTAACAATTACTAAAGTCGGGTTCATAAAAATTGTTATGTAATCGGGCTAGTAAAAATCCTAACATCGGGCTTGATTAATTCGGTGACTAGGAAATTTAAATGCCCGGTTAATAAAATTAGTCGAACTCGAACTAATTAAATTAACCGGTTAAATAAAATGTGACGGCTTGTAGTAATAATTTTGACTTGGGCCGAAATTAAATATTGGGCCTGAAATTAAAATACTACGAGGGCTCGATATTTAAAATATCGCTTGGTCTTGAAAATTAATTCGATTGCTCGAATTAAAAATGGGCCGACTATAATTACTTGGATTCTCAAAATTAATTGGGCTCGAAATAATCAAATTATTCGAACGATCTACCTATGGCTTAGACTTTAATACTAATTATTTAATTTAATGTAAATAAATGTAATAAATGCATCCAATTTAGAAACTTAATATTTATGGAAATATAGTCGAGCTCCATAAATAGTAAGTTAAATCTGGGCGTTACAATCCATCCTCCTTAAAAATATTTCCGTCCTCGGAAATGCTAAAACTAAACATAAGTCCGACTCGACTAGAAACTAGGAATCAAAAAGTACATATTACTAGTCAGAACTGAAACTCTAGATAATGAGCGCGAATCTCATTCTCGCTCCTAAGTGGCCTTGGCCTTGCCGTGGCGGCTCCAGCGAACTCGGGCTAGAGACATATCTTTATTCCTCAGCCGTTGGACCTTTCTGTCCAAATTGCTATCAGTTGCTCCTCGTAAGTCAGGTTTTGCCCGACTTCGAGCTTGCTAAAATTCAACACGTGTCCTGGATCATGCATGTAATTTCTCAACATCGACTCGTGAAAGACGTTGCGCACAACCGAAAACTCTGGTGGCAACGCCAAACGGTATACTACCTCGTCCACTCGATCGAGGATCTCGAATGAGCCTATGAAATGGGGGTTTCGGTCTGACACTATGGTCTCGGCTACTTCGTGGAATCGAGTAATCCCACGGATGTAAATACTGGCAATCTGCTCCATGGTAATCGTCATCCTCACGGTAAAAAGCGGGTCGACTTCACTAGTCGGTCCACAACTACCCAAACCACATCGAGCTCCTCTTTCGATTTGAGTAGTCCCGTAATGAAATACATGGTAACGTGCTTCCACTTTCACAACGAGCTCTAGTGGTTGCACGAAACTGGGGTGGAAACTTGTGCTCAGCCTTCACTTGCTGGCCAACCAAGCACTTTTTCCACGAACTCAGAAATGCTAAACTAAGGTATATGTCAAAATTCTAAACTTTAAGGCCATATAAAAATGAATCTCAAATCTAGGACTTCTAACTCTGAATTCTGTCTTCCTCCTGCTATTGATATCGGCTATGCAATGGCAACTCCGGTATCAAGCCCCCAGGTAAATTCGGACAAGTGACTCTTATTTGAAGACTCCATAATTTACCCGGCCTTATGGATGTTATACACCGTTAACCCAAGTTCGAGAACTGGGTCTCTGTCTGGACATTGTAATAGGTCTGTTCCGGCATCGGCCGGTCTTGCTGGTACTAGTTTGCCATGGCGACTCGCTAAAATCTCACTATGTGCCTTAGATAAAACCCAAGACAAAACTTAAAAACTATACTGGGGAACTTCAAAAGAAGCTCATCGATACACTTCGCAGCATCGCCCTAGCTACGGCGACACTCCTGGACTCAGAGAGACCTACTTCTCGACTCTCTGACTAGCGTACCTTCCGCCACACGGCAACCATAGGTACTATCTCACGGGTCAACTCGGATCAACGTGAGACTCATCTAAGGATTCTACATGTTCAAGCTCGAGCACATCTTCTCGAAGTCGAAACGTGGGGAAGAATCGCTCAACATTCCCCGCGAATTCCGGCAGCAAAGCCTCAACTGTTAGGCTTAGCTCGCCGTCTCGGCTATTAGTTGAGAATGACTGGGCTAACTAAACTGTTGCTCATCTGCAATTGTGACCTCGGGGTCATCTTGCCGTTCACACTGGTCTCAAAGTCTTTATGTGGCTGGTCTGTATGCGACTTTCGTCGGTTCAGGGTTGCCTCAGTCTTAGCATGGATAGCTGATCTCTTCCCTATTGTCTGTGATCAGTTTACTATTGACCGAGGATCTTTCTCTCGCTATTTCTTTCTTGTACGTCAGCGATCCACACGTGTCCGTACTAAATTGCACGATGTCATGTCAATCGACATTTACTAACTATCTTAGTAGCAAATCGCTCTTTCGAACGAATTTGTCATTCAAAACGCAAACATCTGAGAATTCTGATCATCCATCAATCTGTAATATTGATGAGGACAACTAGCAATTGCGGTTCGACTAGCTGTGACCCGGCTCCTGACGATGCGGTACGTTGCACACGGTACGTTGCATGCGGCTTACTCACTACCCGGGGCCCACGGGCGCGGAACTCCTGCATACTATACTTGCGTGCGATGTACCTGCGACGTCAGTATTGCCTGCAGTCATAACACAGTCGTATCCACGTCTTATGCTAGTGGCTTAACGGTACTGCGGCGCTGAGTTAACTTGGCGCACTACTACTGGATTTAACTTCTTCTTGATACAAATCGATGGTCTCATTACTTATATGGGTAAAATTTACCCAGGGGTACTTAAAATTTCATTGTTGCGGCTTTTCTGTTCTTTCTTCCTTCAACGTCTATTCTAAAACTAGTGATGTCGTACACCACTAGTACTTAGAGATGACTTCATCACTTCAACTTTCTTGTGCTTTATGATCTTGAGGCTTCTGGCTCCTCAACTTCTCATAGAGGATGTCCGAGCTTCATGTTCAATCTTGGAACTTGTTGTCTTCCCGCATGGGTCGACAACTTTTCGACTCTCAAATGTGAGTACTTACTCTCCTCCTTGAGTCTACATAAGTTTTGGTAATTGGTGCACATCTCCTTCCTTCATGAACCATGGGGCGCACCCTAGTGGTGATGCTCTTGGTCCAACAATTCATAGATCGGATTTGGGTCTTCCGTTCTTGCAGCTTCTTGGCGTCTGGGTCTTTAGTTCTTGCAGCTTCTTGGCGTCTGGGTCTTCAGCTATTGTAGCTTCTTGGAGTCTCTCGGTTTGGCGCTCTTGACACGGGTCCTTCTCCATCATCAGGTCAATCAAATTTCTTTTGTCGGTCAGGTGGTCTTCTCGGTAACATTTTAAAAATATGTACGCATGATTTCGAACAAAGGTAACTCTTCGGGCGTTGTCAGTGATGTGTTCTCTCTCTTTGTGGCTTCTAGAATTTTTCTATCGGCATATCGTCCATCTGCCCACAACTTCCAACTCGGGAGTTGTGGCATTCGACACAAGTATACTAGATTATAAGTCTTCGTCTTCTTAAACATTCTATCTCGACTTCCACGTGTGCGGAAGTTGGTTCTCCTTCTTGAATCATGGTGGTTGTGAACTCCCACTCGGCTTCATTAAATTCTCTGCGAACTGTCGTTTGAGTATTCTCACACTATTGAAACTTCCTTGGGTGATGGCTCTCTTTCAAGACGAATGAGTAAGTCGACTCGATGTCAAAGCATGGCTCGACGTGCGATTCCTCGCTCTAGCTTCCTTTAAACTGGGTCTCCTATTTCTCTGACTACTAGAGATCACCTCATATGAAACATGTCTGCTATGGTTCAGCTTCAAGCTTCCATGGTTTCTCCCGGACTCATGGCTTTTATTTCAAGCCTCCAGGACTTACGCAGATCTATGACTCTTATACACTAAAAATCTATTACTTATAATACTAGCTGGAAGGCATCTTGCCAACTCAAGTGAGGTAACCCCTAGAGTTAAAACTTAACTTAAAGCTTACATAGTTCAAGCAATGGAAAGTCCATCACTTTATCTATGTGTTGCAATCTATCGATGCGATAATCTAACTTTCGCAAGTGTCGAATTATAGAAATAACTCGCTCTTTGCGATCTTTACATTATGGAATGCAACGAAATTTTTGGTCTCAACTTGGGATTATAACGAAGGTTTTGAAATATGAAGAAATTCCCGCAACAAAAGTATTGCGAGTTCATGGAATGGAGATAATTAAACTACATGCATCTTCTTGAGTCATCTGGACTTCTGCTTCTACTGGTGACGAGCGTCGGTGCTGGCACTTCCTCCTCCTTGTTGATCTTGGATCGGCTATTGCTTGTTGGGTCCTGCCATTTCTGGCAGAATTTACTGAAATGTATTTACTCAGTCTTATTTCTAAGGTTTGAAATCGATCTTATGGCGCTAATATATCGCCACGACTATCCTCGATACGTAGAAAAAGGTACTTGCCCACAATATAATCGAGGTTGTTTCTAGAGTTATATTCCGCTCTGCCCTCAGGAAAGTCGACGGTAGAGCGTACAAATAACTGACTCTGCTGAAATTCTGACTAAAGCAGTATAGCAAATTAATAAATAGCTACACTATACTTTAATAATTTATCGAATTCCGAAAACACCTAGCTTGGCTAGAGTTCCGGTTACACTAAAATCTTCTAGGTTCTGACTAGAGTTTTCTGACTAGAATTCTCAAATCTTAATCGAAGGATAGATCGTACGCCCCTGAAATAATCTAACTATAATTGAATATGCATTCGCAATTAATAAAAGTTGTACATGTGACGTACCTCGGAGTCGGCGTGGCGTGAGCGTGGTGTGGTCATATCTCACTAAAATTTCAGTATATAGAACCAATAAGTGGCTCTGATACCAACTGTAACACCCCACCTAGACTTACTAAAATCAGAGTAAATTTTTCACACTATAAATGGAAAGCACTTACTTAATTTTCGAAAACTCATATTAATTTTTCAAAAATACTTTAACCTTAATATGGGGGATGCTACTCAACTTTAATCTTAAATCTTTAATCTTTAATATCTATAAACTACTAGGCATGCAATCGAGTATAATTCATTACTCTAAGGCGCCATGAACATCTCAGGATTTAAGCATGCATAGACTGAAATTCTGAAATGCTGAAATACTAGTCTGGAATCCTAAAATACTAGTCTGAAATCCTGAAATATTTAATTCTAATCTGAAATTCTGAAATACTTAAACACTAGTCTAAAATCCTGGAATATTAAAATACTAATATGAAATTCTGAAATACTGAAATAGTAATTTGAAATTCTGAACTACTGACATACTAATCTGAATATTAGTCTGGAATTCTAAAATACTGACTAGTCTGAAATTCTAAAATACTGAAACAATAATCTAAAGTTCTGAAATACAGTTCTAGAGTGCAGAAGCAAATATATGTTCAAACATCAATGGCAAACAGACAATAAGCGCAACATAAATAAAGCATAATTAATTCAAACAATTCAAAACATAACATAACACAAATATCCTGATTGATGACCACCACCACATCCGGCTCACGCTCCACGCGGGACTCCATCACCTGAAAAATAGGGTAGTGGGGAGGCGTGAGCACAATGGAATCAACGGTGCTCCGCCAGGACCAGCACTGAATACTAAGCACAATTAATAACAAACTATGAAATCAACATATATATGAATAAACTGGTCTGGCTATGGGACTAACGGTAAACCGGTACTCATGTGCACACTCTGGGGGTCCTCTCTTACAGAAATCCAGGAAAGGCACTAATCACCCCATCTGGACGCTAGACTTAGGACGGGCCCTAATCACACACATCCAAGTCATAACTGAAATACTGAAATATTGACCAAGACGGGATCACTCATCCGTCTCGGTCCTTCAATTTAAACACATATAGATCTCAGACATGGTAAATTATTAAAAGTGATGAAATACACAGTACATGGTCCCCACCTGAAAACTGGCGAATGCAAATGCTGAAATATCTGAAATGGGTAGCTGATGGAGGCTCGACTCTCCTCAAGCTACAAAAATTACGAGCGAAATATTCTAAGTACTGGGCTCAGAATAAAACTCGAATCTTTAATATCTTATTTGTCTAGGTTCGTTCACTCTGCTTTAAAAATAATTTTAGGGATTTACGAGCTGATTTTGAAAATATTATTGTCTTTGAAGCATTCTAGAGTTATCTGAAATATTTCTATGTCTGGAACTAAAATCTGACTGAATCTAATATGACTTAAATCTAAAATATATCTGGATCTTTCATCTATCTGGAATCTTAACTATATCTGAAATCTTAACTATATCTGAAATCTTAAATATATCTGAAATCTTAATTTGACTGAATCTGAAATATATCTCGAACCGTCCGGGCTGACCGGACCGGTTCAATTGAACTTGACCGACAACTCACTCAGAGTTGGTCGGTCATTCGCTTGACTATATGCAGCTCGGTTTGACCGTGGTCCGAGTTCGGCGTGGCAACTCGGGCCGGTACGAACTCAACTGACACGGCTTAGCCGGTGCACGATCTTGAAACGATGCCACGGTCACTGACGTAGGGGCGTGCTTGGACCACGGCTAACGGAACGGCGCGTAGACAGTAGGTCGGATGGACTTGGTGCACGGGTACGCACTCGAGGGTTGACTCGGACTCGGTGCACGGGCACGCACTCGGGGGTTCGGCTCCAACAGTCAGACGAGAGACGGTCATGGGCGCGAGACGACGGTACACATTACAAATTGACGATACGACGGCTAATAATTATTCAGGCGGTACAAGGGTTCATACATTTATAGTCGGATTCAGAAAAATACCCGGTTACCTGAACCGGATAAAACAAGGGTTTTTATTCTCGAAAAATCCTAACTCATTTAAGGCCAATAATTAATATATGTATTCTATGTAATTTATATTGATTTTAAAATCAACAACTGCAGCTAAAAATCTCAATCAAACGGATATTTTATTTTTACCGCATTAACGCCTAAAGTCCCGATTTTTATAACTAAGTCAAACAACATCCAAAATTTCCGCAAATCGAAACATAACATCCTCAATCTATGTATGGTCCACGGTCAAGTACACATAAAATCGGTTCGCCTATCAAACGAACCCCGAAAATTCTCAAATTTTTACCTAAGACTCAAGACAATTAATTATTATTTATCAAATTTAAATAATTATTTTATCACTTATGTATAAAGAGATCGAAAAATCGATCGGTCTAAGCTCGTAAAAATCCCGATAATTCAATTTTCGCTCAAATCATCAAATTCACATCTTTATTTTATCTCAAATATCATATCTAAGCCATCAAAACTGAGTTCGAGTTATTATACCTTAAATCGAGCGAAAACGGCGGGTCAATAAGAGATCAAGCTAAGAACAAGAGTGAAAAAGCGAATCGGTTCGACTAGGGCAGCACAACCCGGATCTGGTGCAACCGGATCAGTTCTGGTGCTGTTCGAGGTCAAACCTGGGGTGCTGGACGCGGATCTTGAGCTGGAAATGGCCGAGAGTGCTGCTGGTCGGGTGTGGTTCGCTGCTGGGCTCGTGGTGGCTTGTTGGGGTCGCACAGCTCGGTTGTACGAACGCGAGAAGGGTGCTGCGACGTACTCACAGTGGAGCTGCGGCCTAGTTGTGGGAAGTTGCCGGAAAGATGCGAGCTAGGGTGGTGCTGCGCTGGTAATGGAGCAGGCTCGACGGGGCTCACGATTTCGGGCCTGAGTCGCGCCGGAGAGTTGGGTAGCGGGCTGAGGAAGATGACTGCTGAGGTCGTTGAAAAGGGAGGACGACGGTGGCTCTGGCTTGCCGGAAAACGCGCGGCTGAAGGTTGGAGGTGGAGCTCGGGCTGCGGAGGTGAGCTGCAAGTGGAGCTCGCGAGTGACGTGCGATGGGGCTGAGTTTGGGCTGAAGTTGGCGGCATGAGCTGGGAGGGTCGAGCCGAGGTCGTGGCTGCTCGTCGCCGGCACGACTGTGGCCGGAAAAGAAGTGGGGTCGCCCGAAAAGCTCAAGCCATGGCGGAAGGAGAAGAAATTTTTTATGTTTTTGGGTTTTGGGAGGTAGATCTTAAGGATTTAAAGCTATATCTTGAAGAAGAGCTAAGACATCTTGAATATATTGAGCTAGATCTTGAAAGATTGAGCTTAAATGTGAGGGTAGAAGAAGATGAATAGTAGTTGTAGGGAGAAAGAGAGACTAGGGTTTTTGTTGTTGGAAAAGGGGAGACAATTTATTTATAGAAGGTGTAGGGGAGCTTAGGGTTTTGTTCTTGTTGGGCCTAAAAATCGGGCCTAACAATTACTAAAGTCGGGCTCATAAAAATTGTTATGTAATCGGGCTAATAAAAATCCTAACACTCGGGCTCGATTAATTCGGATAGTGACTAGGAAATTTAAATGTCCGGTTAATAAAATTAGTCGAACTCGAACTAATTAAATTAACCGGTTAAATAAAATGTGACGGCTTGTAGTAATAATTTTGACTCGGGCCGAAATTAAATATTGGGCCCGAAATTAAAATACTACGAGGGCTCGATATTTAAAATATCGCTTGGTCTTGAAAATTAATTCGATTACTCGAATTAAAAATGGGCCGGCTATAATTACTGGCTCGAAATAATCAAATTATTCGAACGATCTACTTATGTCTTAGACTTTAATACTAATTATTTAATTTAATGCAAATAAATATAATAAATGCATCAAATTTAGAAACTTAATATTTATGGAAATATAGTCGAGCTTCATAAATAGTAAGTAAAAATCTGGGCGTTACAGTCGGTCCAGGATGCGCAGGTGGAAAAACTTTAGATGGAGGCATGACAGGCTTGTCAATGAGCTGTGAGCCAGTAGAAGTATCTGAAAAGAGATCTAATGTAATGAAGAAAAGGGACGACGAATCAAACGGAATGTGAAATATAAACAATAAAGAAAAAGTAGTATTTCCCGAAAGGTAACGTGATGCGAAATACGCAACCGACTGAAAATAAGATCCCAACACCTAAAACCCTTTGTGTTGTACCTCATAACCCAAAAAACAACACAATACAATATCACAAAACAGATGAAATCTAAGTACGAATCAGATCACGAATCTATAAAAAATTTTGTACAAACAGAAATTAAAAAGGTCACGAACAGAATTTAGCCAACGTTGATAGGAGTCGACGATTGAAAAATGGGGGTGGACCTTACGCACCGACCAAAGGTTCCGGCGCTGCAACGGAGATGAGGCGCGTGTGACTCACATGCGTCGGTGATGGGGATGATTTTTCTGGCGAAGGCTCGCCTCGGGACACCAGGGAGGATGGCGGGGGTGGTGAGAGTCAACAGTGGCTGGAGACAAGCAACGAACGACCAAGCCTATGTTTGACCCTAATTTTATTATGATACATGTAAAAATGTCGGAATAATATACCTTGTATTAATTAATACAGAAGTATGTGCACGTATATAAAAATAAAAGATGAGCCTCCCTTAGGATTGACCTTAACCTAACACTATAATACACAATACAACAACTATAACTAACAGTCACCTTGCCCGTTTCTTTACAACTTACTCGATGGAAGAGATATGTGAATATAAAAATTAATTAATAACAAAAATATATTACTGTGTAAATAGAACCATAATATTATCAATACAACTATAATAATGGACGGAGGGTGAAAAACATGGCCATCAGGCACCAGGCCACCAATCATATTCACATAATACAAAAGAAGGACGTAACCCGATCAATAATAGACGCTGCGCCACTATATTCCAATTTGTGCATTAATGTGCATGCATACAAGCGTTACTTTCTTCTCGCTGTAGAAGATGGATGACCGTCTCAACACATGTTAAACAATAAAATGCTACGGTATGGAACCATTCTGTTGGAGTTTGTAACCATTAGATCATCATGTAATCGTCAGAGTTAGTTGATCTAACGGTTATAAACCCCAACGGAATGGTTTCGTACCGGGACTGTAGCATTTCTCAATATTATAATAATAATGACATCTCCTCCTAACCTCGTATGCAAGGCGCTGGAAGGCAAGTTGAACCTTGCATCATAGTGCATAGTATCTCTCTATAAAAGGGCTCCTCTTCTTCTCCACAGTTCATCTGAAAAAAAAAAAACAAAAAAATAAATAAATAAATAATAATAATAATAATAATAATCATAATATCTAATCATAATCATGAAAAAGATAAGTCAGCATTATTACCTCCTCTTTCCCATTCTCCTCTTCACACTCCTCTCACATCGGGCAGCTGCCCAGGCAGCTTCCCCGGTGCTCGACATCACCGGGCAGGAGGTCCAGGCTGGCGTCCCCTATCACATTATTTCTGCCATCTGGGGTGCAGGTGGCGGGGGACTCACCATGTCCGATGTCCGCAACCTGACGTGCCCGCTCGACGTCACCCAGACGCCAAACGACCTCCTGTGGGGCCTCCCGGTGGCCTTCCACCCGGCCAACTACTCGGACGAGGTCGTCCGCCTCTCGACCGACCACAACTTCGAGTTCGACGCCGTCACAGTCTGCGTGTCGAGCAACGTGTGGAGGCTCGCGTTCGACAACTCCATCCTGAGGTTCTACATCACGACTGGTGGGGAGCTCGGGAACCCGGGCAGGTGGACGCTCAACAACTGGTTCAAGATCGAGGCGCAAGGGAGCAACTACAAGCTCGTCTTCTGCCCGACGGTGTGCCCCACGTGCCGGCCCGTGTGCGGGGACCTGACCATCTATGTGGATGGGCCTTATAGGCGGCTGGTGATGGCCCAGACGGGCGAGGGCCCGCTAACGGTTTTTTTCAGGAGGGCAGAGGAGTCGGCTAGCGGAACCGTGTCGGGGAGTAGGTCGGAGTGAATGGTCAACGGGCAAGGTTGACTGATATTATATTGTATAATAAGGACTGCATGGATATTGAACAGTACAGTTTTGTGCTGTGTGTTTGGTTTAAGTTTGTATGATGAATAAACTAAAAGCTTGTATGCTTTGGAACGTTTGAAGTACCATCTGTTGATTAAATATAATCCAGTATAGTTTATTTTATCCTTCATCGTAATTCGTATGTCATCGTATGCCATTTGAAAGTCTATGCTATTTTTGATATTTTATTGTGAAAGTGTACATTTTTATTCAAAAAACCTCAAATTTGAATTGTGTATATTTTGTTTTGTAGTTTGTGTTTGTCTTACTCTCGATATTTTATTGTGAATTGTGTTTGGGTCTATTTGTTTTCTCTTTTTCATTCTTATTCTTCTTTTTCATATTGTTTACTTCTATGATTTTATTTTGTCTATTGATTTTACTAGAGGGCGTGTTGTTCAGGCGAATAATTACCAATGGGTGATTGTTTATGGATTCAACTAGTTTTTATTTGATTTATTTTTATATTATAGTTAATTGTTAAAAAAAGATGATATGATTAGTTGTTAATGTATATATTAAAATAATATTTAAATAAAATAATTACAGTTTATTTGACGTAAAGTATGAAAAAAATTATTGGAAGTGACGATTAGTTAAAATTATGTAAATGGATGAATAGTGAATCAAAGTTGATATGATGTGTGTGTGATATAGGATATTATACCTACAAGACTGAACCGGTCTATTGACCGGTCGAGGAGGTCGTATTATGAGGAAGTCAAGGAAATCGAGCAGTTAACCAGTCGACCAAGCAAAGCTGTCGACCAAACTATCCTTCGACCGGATGAGCGATCGAGCAGTTCAGTCGGCCTCGATTGGTCGACCACTCCGAGGACTTAACACCACGTTGATCGGCCTAGTCACAGGCGCGTGAGAGAGCCTCTAACTGAATTCTAGGAGAATATTTACCCCATGTGCAGGGGGACACGTGTCGAGAAGGCAGTGGTTGATAGCGATAACCACCTCTGACAGCCTACCCCATGTGCAGGAGGACACGCGTCCAAAGGGGATTGGGGCAGGCGATAGTGGCGACGGCTACCTCTGACACACGCGTATGGTGTGTACGGACGGGCAGTTAGGGCAGACAGCTCATCAAATCGGGGCAACCCTAGGTCAGGTATCTCACCCCGATATAAAGGGGGTGAGCCTTTCTTCTTCAACACGATCATTCTATTGCTTACTCTTGAGAATTGATTGAACATACACTGACTTAAGCTTCAGAGGCTCTTCACCGGAAAACCCCTCCGGTGTGAGAGTTCTTTGTAGGTGCACGACGTTCAACCGACGAGAAGGAAGGTGATTATTCAAGTTCCAGCCAGTCGGGAAGTTTAGTGTTACCATTTGGCGCCGTCTGTGGGACTTTCGTTTGAAAAGTTGTGTTTGAAGCTCAGCTATGGCGGACGGAATCCCCAAAAACTTGCAGTCGACGTTCGACGACGCTTGGACGACGATCAGGCCGTTTGGACAAGGCCCTCCTCCGGGTTTTTCTGGCCCATCGCAGACGCCAATCACTCCTACGCCGGTTCTTCAAGGTGTAGGAGCGGCGACAGTGATTCCCGGAGGGGATGCCGGCTCCAACCGTGCCCCGGAGACTCGCGCAGCGGATGCGGCGGTGATGCCACCACCGCCGCCACAAAACCCAGCGGTAGCGCCACCAGGAGGAGCGGCGGCGCAGCCAGGGGGAGCAGCGGAACAAGGAAGAGCACCACCACAGGCAACGGTGCAAGTCCCCGGCCAGCAGGTGGTGATGACCAGGCAAAAGATACAACAAATGGTGGCGGAGGCAGCTGCGCAGGCGGTGCAATAAGTCATAAATAGTCTCTCTCGGGCTACCGTGATGCGGAACACTGTTCCAGGGTCACGCCAAAATGCAGAGGAAGATGAATCTAGCTACGGTGGAGGCAGGCCCCCACATGATCGGGAGATGGAGAGAATGGCGGAACAACTGCGTCAATTGAAGGCTAAGGTGGATAGCCGAGCGGAGAGACGCGCTCGAGGACACCCGTTCTCGGCGGACATACTAGCAGCACCCTTGTCAATTAATTACAAGGATACCAACCTGGTGTTTGATGGGACTTCTGACCCGTCGAGGCACGTGAGAACATTTGAAAATATGGCTGTGTTACATGGATACACTGATCCCGTTAGTTGCAGAGTCTTCTTATCGACCCTCAGGGGAGGGGTGCTCGATGGTTCCAACAGCTCCCCCCAGGCTCGATTGTGGACTTCGAGGATTTTGCGGAGAAGTTTACAAATCAATATTCAAGCGCGGTGGCTCAGGAGAAAACGTACTTAACACTGATGGCAATGAGACAAGGCGAGAAGGAGTCACTGCGCAAATATGTGGCTCGATACAACCAGGCTTGCTTGGAGATTCCGTCGGCGGTCGATGAGGTCAAGGCGGGAGGATTGATTAGGAGTTTGCGGGCAGGACCATGTCGGACTTCTCTGGCTAAGACCCCTGCTCGTACGTATGATGAGGTGTTGAGGAGGTGTAGGAAATACATTAATCTCGAGGAGACTGAGGCAGAGTTTGCCAAGCTAGAGGAGTTGGGTCGAGGGGAGTCGAGGAAGGAGAAAACAGTTTCGCCTAAGAGGAGAGCCTCACCTAGGAGAGAGGGGCGAGCTAAGCAGGATCGAGGACGAGAGGACAGATGGAAGCACAAGCCTATCTCTGGAGGGAAAAGGTTCCATGACTGTACCCCGTTGAACGCGAAGGTAGCTGAGGTGTTGATGGCCATGGAGAAAGAGATAGATGGGAAAGATGTGACGTGGCCGAAGTCGAGGTTCGAAGGGCCAACCCAACCGAAGTCGAGGAGATATTGCCGCTTCCACAAAGACTATGGCCATACTACTGAAGACTGTCGACATCTCAAGGACGAAATTGAACGCCTCATTCGGGCAGGGCATCTCAAAGAGTTTGTCTATCAGGATAAGGTGAGGAGGAAGGAGAAGAGAAGGTGTCGGGAGGACTCGATGGAGAAGAGCGAGGAAGATGATGATGAGGATGCACGAGGTGGTTGAAAAAGAGATGAAGGGAAAATGAGGCGAGGAAGTGGGGAGCGAGAAAGAGAAGGAGATTGAGGCCAAGTGAAGAGAGGCACGATATATATGATTTCAGGAGGACCGACAGATGGAGACTCGAATAATGCTAGGAGGGGCCATGTTCGCGCGATGAAGAGGAAGAGAGAGGAGGTGGGTATCACGGCCCGAGTGCCAGAAATCAGTTTTCGGGAAGAAGATGCAACGGGGGTAGTGATACCTCATAGTGATGCCTTGGTGATTACGGCAGAAGTAGCAGGTTTCGATGTAAAGAGAGTGTTTATAGACACGGGAAGTTCGTTCGATGTCATGTTTTACGATTTCTTTGTACAAATTAATCGGGAGTTGAATATGGAGTTGAAGCCGGTGGCTACGGCCTTGTATGGTTTTAATGGTGGGGAGGTTATGCCAATGGGAGAGGTGAGTCTATCTGTGGCACTGGGAAAAGGAGCGACCCAGAAAGTTCGAATGGTGAGATTTGTGGTCGTAGGAGCTGAATCTCTTACAACATCATAATGGGGAGAACAAGTTTGAGCGCGTTCCAGGCAGTCGTATCTACGTACCGTATGACGATTAAGTATCCTTTGGGCGAAAACGTGGGTGAGATCGCTGGGGATCAACTGACCTCGAGAAGCTGTTACCAAACCACTGTGAGCAACAACAAACAGTTAGCAAGGAGGCAGGTGCACTCTAAAGGGGAGGAAGTTAATCGACCAGGAGGTTCGAGGTCGAAGGAGGAGAAACATAAGTTGGAGAAGGGGAAAGAGAAGGTAGATATCCAGCCGGGTGGCTAAGTTGAGGAGATACAGATGGTCGAGGGATACGAAGAGAGAAAATTTCGGATCGGGAAGGAATTGGAGGAGCCAGTGAGATTGAGGCTGATTAGTGTAATAAGGGAGTTTGCGGATGTGTTCGCATACTCTACGGAGGAGTTGACTGGCATCAAGGCTGAAGTTATTGAGCACCGGTTGAACATCGACCTCAGTGTAAGACCGGTAAAACAAAAAAGGAGACATCACGGGGCAGAAATGGATAAAATAATCGAGTCGGAGGTAGAAAAACTCTTGGCGGCAGATCATATAAAGGAGATCCATTTTTCGGAGTGGCTATCGAACACGGTTATGGTCTCGAAATCAGAGGGGAAATGGCGGATGTGCATAGATTTTCGAGATTTAAACAAGGCATGCCCGAAGGATTTATACCCACTGCCCAGGATCGACCAACTGGTCGACTCCACAGCTGGGTGTAGCTACTCAGCTTGATGGATGCATCCCAGGGTTATCACCAGATCCCGTTGGCTAGAGATGATTGGAAAAGGGTCAGTTTTGTGACGAGCCGTGGAACATATTGTTATGTGGTGATGCCATTTGGTCTAAAGAATGCAGGAGCAACATATCAGAGGTTGGTGGACAAAATCTTTAAGGATCAGCTGGGAAGGAACATGGAGGTGTATGTGGATGATATGCTGGTAAAGAGCAAGGAGGAGATCGACCATGTAAGCGACTTGAAAGAAACATTCATGACCCTCCGGAAGTATGGGATGAAGTTGAATCCCGCTAAATGCTCATTTGGGGTCAAATCTGGGAAGTTTTTAGGCTACATGGTCACGAAGAGGGGAATCGAAGTCAACCCGGAGAAAGTAAGGGCGGTGGTCGAGATGCAGCCCCCCACGAAGGTGAAGGAGGTGCAGATCCTAACTGGTCGAATAGCAGGCCTGAGCCGTTTTATCTCTAAGGTGGCTGAGAAAAGCGGGCCCCTGTTCAAGACACTCAGGAAGAGCTCGAAGTTCCAATGGACAGAAGAAGCCCAGAGAGCATTTGAGGAGTTGCAGAAGGTGTTGGTCAACCTACCACTATTGGCAAAGCCGGTGCAAGAGGAGGACTTGGTGTTAT